TTTTTTTTTTTTTTTTTACTATCAAAGATTAAAATGCTACAGTAAATTTAATGTGCAACATTTGACTTTAAAAAAAATCATTATTAAAAAATTGAGAAAAAATAAAATATATGTCTAGTTAAGCTATATAATCTAATTGGGTCTAATATATTAGATATAAATTAATTGCAGGTATCAAAAGTTAATCTGATCATGACGGATTACAGCATGCCAGGAATAAGTGGCTACGATTTGCTCAAAAAAATCAAGGTATATAATTAATGATGTATTTAATTTAATTCAATTAGCTCCTCCTAATTCAATAATAAAGGTCTAATTATTCATCATCATATTAATTAACTGCGAACTAATTACTCTTATTAATTAATTAAAATTAATGTTTTTTTTTTTTAACAGGATTCTTCTTGGAAAGATGTACCAGTGGTGGTTATGTCGTCCGAGAATGTACCCTCAAGAATCAACATGTATGCAGACTTAATTAATTAATAAATCCCTATTTTTAATTAATTGTGTCTTTAATAAAATAATTAGGGTATAATTAGATAATTAGGCTAATGTTTCACAGGCCTGGTAAAACACTTTGGCCCAGCTCATACTCTTGACAGGCCGAGATGGACCTGTCAGCCCAATTATTTTAACCACTGGTCTGATTATTATTACTAAATCAATTACTAGGTGCTTGGAAGGAGGAGCAGAAGAGTTTATTCTAAAGCCCGTGAAGCTCTCAGATTTAAGCAAACTACACTCTCACATCCTTAAAGCCGCCATTGCCCAAAACCTCGACAGCCACGAAACGACGGCGGAGGAAAACTCGAGCGACGAGATCAAAAGCGCAAGTGATGATGATGATGAAAGTGTTAGTGAGGAAGAAGAAGAAGATAAGGAAAACGATAAGAACTGCAGCAACGCTAACAAGAGAAAGGCAGCTGTGAAGACGTCTCCGGATCTTACGGACAGAAGGCCACGTGTCAAAGAACTGTCTGTTTCCGAGATAATAATACTATGATGTCCTTGCTATATATATATGCATGTTAGTTTCATAGCAAAACCGTAGTAATATTTTTTTTTTTGGTTGTTTGTATGTTTTATGATGAGATGGATGCATGTTAATGACTAGTGAGTGCGACTTATATTAATTAATTAATATTAATAGGCTAATAGTATGTAACGGAGTTTATAACGGAGTTTCAATTTCGTGCATTGGGTATAATTATATAATTATCTTGACTAATTAATCTATATATATAAATGTTTGGTTGTTTTTAAAGAGAGATGCTACAGCCCCTCACGGAACCATTCCATCGGGATTTGTAACCGTTCGATCATCATGAGTATAATTATATAATTACCACGTCACGTAACGGGACCGTAACATTTCCTCTTTTTTAAAATAGCATAACTGCTTCAGAATAAAAAAAATCTTACTTATTATATCGAAAAATTAATAAAGTAGTTTATAGTATAAAGTGAGTGAATTTTTTTTTTCTTTTTTTAATGAAATTTTATTTGGATATTTAGTTTTTTATATTAAGTGACGAGATTTTATTTTGGTATAGGCTTTTATTGGGATACTTTTGTTTTGTTATTCTTAATTTGGTCTCCACTCCATTCCTTATTTTCTATTTTTAAATCCGTCAATTCCGTGTTTATTAATTTATATTTTTTTCACCCTCTAATATCATTTCATTATTACACGTTTTCATGTGCCTCCTCATCGTCTCTTCCAATTAGCATCCCAATGACTTTGCTAAGTCCTCCTTCGGATATGCATCCCAATGCCTTCTGCCAGTCGTTGCAAATAATGAAAATCGTAGGGGCTCCGAGCTGGCCGGGTGAGTAAAGATCGTCGGGTTTGTAAAAAATCGCTCGTGTTTCGTGTTGTAGACAGTTTAGGAGCCAACCATTTAGAGATTCTGCGTACAACTTTTGGAAGCCAATCCAGTTTTCGAAATGGCGACACCATGCGAGAAGCTCTTTTTCGAGCCCGGTGGAGCCTGTATCTGATTGGAGACCGGTTTTCGGTTTGTGCTTTCGCATTTTGAGCTCCATTATAGCTTGATACTGTTTCTGGTGGCATTTGAGCATTGCCTTCCACATTTTGATCAGCCTATGGGATATGAACCGAACTTTAATTTTATCAACTTTGTGTAGAGTTGCAAAAGCACCCCAGCAGTTGAGATAAATTGCAGTTGAGATAAATTGCATTGACTCCAATAATAGGCAGAATACAAACTAAAATCAGGACGATAAATTTAATTTCGAAAGACAGGGTGGCCTGTTTATAATTAAACTGAACTTGTAGTTGTAGGTATCTTTTGTAACGAACCCCTTTTCATTGAAACAGAAACATTATTATCACACTTCTGCAATTCAAACACAAAGCATGCTCCTACCCGTGAATTAGTTCGGCGACCTTTGGTTGCAATTCTTCATCCCTCAACTTGTTTACCGTGCTTGAGATGGCGTCAATTGCTTTCATTCTGATAACGAGCTTTGTTCGTAGTCTTCTTATAGAAGTTTGAGCGGCGTAAATCTTGCAGGGCTCGGCTCCTTCCTCGTCCAAGATCCTAAGCCTCTTGTATTTCTTCTCGTATTTGACCCGAAGCCTTTCTTCACCCTGACAAATTAAATTGATAATAGTCTGTCATAAAACTTGCTAAAAGTTGAACTGCAGAAATAGAAAGATAACTGAATCTCTATGCATGTTTCGAAACCGAAAGTGCTGCTTTAGCCAAAACTTGCCTTAACTTCCTCGTATAACTTTTTCTCCCAAGCATACAACTTATCCATCGTGGAAGAAAGGCTATACACGGTGGCATCTACACCCTCCCCAACATCTTCAAAGCAGGATCTCGGTAAATAACCCGTAAACTTAGAAAACGGCAACATTAGGTGAAGCATCTGTGAGAGAATTACTGTTGAAACGAAACGAAAAAAAAAAAGTCGGCATCAACAGTTGAGTAGTGTCTTGCCTAATGAATTAAACAATCCAACCTTCAAGTGTAAACTGTAAAACAAAGACACTGTTCGAAGAACGAAATAGAATCATCACCTTCAAGAAAACCGGGCCGATAAGGCAACTTGTCAACCTCTTAACATTAATTCCACATCTTTTCCATAACCAGAAGCCATCTCAAATTCCTTCATAATTTCAGCTACAACCTCCCTCGGATCTTTAAGTGACGGGTTAAGATTTGGCGACCACAGCTTCTCATTAAGATGCTCTCTAGAGCTCTGTTTTGCTTTATCCTTCTCTTTCTTTCTCAGTAGATCCTCTCTGTACCCCTCGCTCCCAGTTTCAGTTTCCTCTTCCAAATCAGGGATTCCTTCTCTCTCCCTCACCTCCCTCAGATCCGAGCTGGCATGGTTCGGCCCGTATCCTTGTCTGCCAATCGGATTGTAACCTGCATACCAATTATCAAGCACAGCAAACGGGTCGAAAAGGTCCCAGCCCAACTCATTTTTCGGACTCACTCTGAAGCCTCGTCATTTTTCATCCTTGCCGTTACATAAACACCGTCATCATCTGAGTAATTCCAATACGAGCCTGAGTCCTGAACCACCATTCTCAGTGCCTGAGCCCATTTTCCACGCGGTACACACTCGCGCTGTTATCATCCGAGTTGTAAAACGAGCCATTCATTAAATTAAAACCGTACCCGTACCCGTGAAAACCACCGGCCGTGTGCAAATTGGGCGCAAAACCCATGACAGAAGGAGAATCCGATGGATTTAGATAAGGCGACCCGTCAGCATTTGTGTTTTTTTCCAGCAAACATTGAGGACGAAGGAGAACAGAAGGAGGATCGTTGGGTAATCAGCTCCTCGTCGACGAATTTCTGAAGAGCACCGCCGATGTTTTTGAGCAAGCACAAGTAGGCCGCGTGGGCGGCGGCGAGGGCATAGCGGTGGTCGGCGGCGGCGCGCATGAGCTCCCGCCGCTCGCGGCAGCGGGAAACCAGCGGGTCTTCCGCCTTAGACCCACGACACCCCATACATGTAACTAATATATCAAGGTAGTTTCATGCCGGAAAGCATGTAAAATTGCGTGAAAATTCGCGGATGTTTAACAGGAAATGTACACGTCGCGATGCAGAAGGTACAACCGTCATGACCTCGTCATCTTCGGAAAATGTTAAACGGAGATAAAATCCGATAGGACACAAACTGACCATTGGTCTTACACATATTGAGTTAACTACAATCAAACGAACAATATTATATCAAATGTTGGATAAACTGTTAAATGATGAAATTTGGTGGTTGATCAAAATATTGAATGTTGAGTTAGGAATGTAAACGGCTGTTCACCAAATCAGAGCTAAACACAATTGTTACCCATGCACATAAAATATACCACGAGTTCATAAAAATAACTAACATTGCTGGGAGTACAATACTATCACATCCAAACTGCCAATCATGGATAACAAACACGAGATAAACTAAACCCGAGTACAATTCTCACCCACCTCATATTAATAGTCCAATCCTATCCATCCAAACAGCCCCAAAAGAGTTTGTTCAGATAAATCCCTTGAAACTGTCACTTATATATCAACAAAAGAATTCTTCTCCAGCAAATTAGTGAAATCCAAAGTATCTAAAAAAGCCAGTTTAGACTGATGTTCCCGAGCCAAATGAGGAGCGGAAACTGCGCAAGGGCGATAAAGAGAAGCAGGTAATGGTGTCTGCTCGAGTCAAATGTCCGAACTTCGGCAAACAAAACCCGCTTCATTGTCTTCACCAGGAAAATACCCATGCACAAGCAAGTCCAAGGTAGCAGAAAATAATACGCGTATCCCCAGAATATTTTGCCCAAAACAGCTAGAGACAGACCCGCGAATGTATAGCCGGCGTATGCCACCATCTCGAGCAGAGGAGCCTCACCGCCACCCAGGGAGAATATTGTCATTTTGAGAAGGGCCACTTGGAAGGTCCAGCCGACCAGCCCCTTTACAAACAGCCAGTTTAGAGCTTCAGGGCTAAATCTGGCAACCAAAGTTGGAAGAGTTGCAATTTTTAGCATCATGTTGCAGAAAATAGCGAATATATATATAAATAAATAAAAAAACAGATACGACAGTGCACAGGACCATTCTCATTGTGTGTGTGTGTGTGTGAGACAGAGAGAGAGAGAGAGAGAGAGAGAGAGAGAGAGAGAGAGAGAGTTGAGAGAGGATTTAGAAGTGAAATAACAAGTCTCAAATTAGATATGTTCATATATTAAGAACGTATACGTTCATTGCAGATGGAAGTATCACTACACAAAAATATGTTAATAAACAAGAGGTCAATGGGTACGTTTGGTTGTTAGCGTTTCCGCCAAGTTTTGGCGTTTTTGATACTGTTAGCTAATTTGGAAGTTTGACCACTTCAAAATTATTGTTTGGTAAAATAGCGGATGACAACAGCGGTTTGGGCCCAAAAGCTGATATTGGAAACGCTGCTTGGAGCAGCGTTTAAGCTTAGCAGTTTCAAGTTTTTTTTTTTTTTTTTTGATCGTTAGTTTCAAGTTTTTTATTTAATTATGTGAAAAGTGGACATTTTGGGGGCATTATGTATACTGCAATTATGATTATCAGTGACACAGTCCACAATGCAATTACTTTTTTTTATTTCATTTTATTAATTTATTTAAGAATTAGTTTCCTTTAATATGTAATGATGGAATAATTATTTTTGAAATTCTTTTTCTTATGTGAAATTTCTTATTTTTCAATATAACAAAATAAGTTATGTATGTCATTATTTTAAAATAAATTTAATTCTTTATATATAAATATATTATTCTTATTATTTTTATTATTTGAGTAATTATACATTTACTTACATTAGTTATTTTATTTTACTTAATAACATCAATCAGCTAATTTTACCAAACACTTCAGCACAATCCGCTAATGTAATCTGCCAGTCAAAACAGCCAATACAATCCGCTGGTCAAAACAGCTGATATAATCAGCTAACAGCTAACCGCTAACAGCTAATTGCCAAACAAGGCCAATATAATACTGTTGCCCTATAGAGAATGAAGAAATGCTGCATGTAATGTTCTCGAAATACACCGTCACAAGTAGAAAAACCAAAAGAATATGTTCAGTCCCATTTAGGATGAAAATCTGACATGCAGTTATTCCAAATTCCAGTATGGAAGAGTACAAATAACAAAACCAGTAAGAAAAGCAGGAAAAAATAGCCAAAACTAATAACCATAGATAGTAAAAATGTACAGGAAATTAAGGTACCATTGACTGACTCAATTCTGATTAAACTGAACAAAGCGCTGATAAAAGAAGCAAATAACTGCCATAATTAAATAATAAATAAACAAACTTACTTCCCATGTAGGCCTAATGACAGGCCAGCAAGAACCAGATAGGTCCCAAATGCCATAAAAGGAATGTACAAGTCTGGAGCATTTATATCATAAATTGGTGGCTTGTAGGAGAGCCTGCCACCAACCGGCTCACTGATTCTTGTCCAATGCCCCTGAAGGATATCCAAACTAGTAAACTTACAGTTGTTTGAGGAACAACAGCAACAAAAAAATGCAGATATAAAGCAAGATCAGCTAATGGAGGTCAAAATATTACCCTGTGCAGAAATGGGAAAAGAACGACCTTCAGTTTATTCTTCACATAATGATCGTTCACTTGGAAATAGTACTGAGGGTCAGAGAAGTACCTGCTGATCTGTTTGTACATCAAATAAAAACACAAACAAGCTTGTAACAATAGTGGATTGAATACAAATTAGAGATTTGTATCTCTATATTCAGCCAGATTATATCACCAGATTACCAATTTTGTACATACTTAAATTCCTCGAACTTAAATAGGGCAAGTTCACGGGCCCATAGGCTACTTACATTGCTCTGCACATATTCGGAGCTGGATCCTAATATCTTCTCTCCATATGCACCAAGACCGCCTTTGATGAAACCTGAACTCGCGCCATAGAAGGAATTTCCAAAAGGATTTGGGACATTCGGCTGTACATTCGGTAATCGAGGCCCTCCAGGCTGTGCTCCAAGATTATCATACATCTTTCACAGAATCAAACAACAAGAATGAACCTATAAAAAAAAGAGCAAAATATAAAATTAACTCATTTCCCAATCAGGAGAAAAAGAAGCACCACTTCTAAGCTTTATTTCCAATGACGGGATGCTAGTACAGATTTGGATCAATAGGTTTAATTATCAATACACCTCATAGATCTAACACTCAGAACTCGAGTTGGATAAAAACGCAAACACAATCCACTAGCAGCTTAACAACAATCCCAGTACTTGCCATCATAATTCAAGAACTATAGGATGATAGGATGTATCTTTCCAAAATGAATATTCACTACCAAAAAAATCATCCAAACCCAGATATGAAAATGTACAAAGATAGTCCTTTATATGCTTGCAACTACTGATAGTAAACTCAACATCTACCAAGAACTCCTTCAAGTTAGGTTTGCTATCATCACAAACCAAGCTCGACAACATAGCACCTTTCACATAAACATAAGACTAGGGCAACGCGAAGAGTAAAAATCACTGAATCTAAGCTCGTTAAGTAAACCAAAACGGCATCAATGGCCACGAAAAAAGCTGGAATTCCCCTTTTCCATCTGAACAGAATAGATTCCGATCAACAATGCACCATACACAAGCGATTATCATAAATTACATTACACTTTTTCAAGTAACTCGAGAAGAAATTCAAATCCTACTACAAAAACTAGCAAACAATTCAAATCCGACGTCAAATCGAAATAGTTCGGCTCATACATATGTGCTTTCAAACGACAGATCTCCCAAACGAAAATCGAAAAT